GCTGAAAGTTTAATAAGTCTTTTATGTATTTGCAGAGCTGGTAAAAAAAATCAAATTTAGAAACAACACAAAACCAAATTTCCCTTTTTTTTTTTCTTCAAACACACAAAACAGCTGATGAAAACATCTGGTATAGCAATATGCCATACACAAACGATTTAATGTATTGTTTTACCTTTGCTTCTACAAGCTGGTCTTGCTTGTCAAGTTCATCATTCTGTTTTTCCTCTACATCGATATTTGTTTCTACAGTTTCTTTTTCAGATGGTAGCAATATACTACTGCTTGGAGTCCTGCAGCAGCTATTAAGAATTTGTCCTTCACAGGCAGTTGTAGTTGGCAATGAGTCTATGGTAGTGCTTTCTCTTTCCCCATTTAGTAAGCTACTGTTGACTAAAGGGTCTGAAATTTGAGCTGATGTATTGGTGCTATGATCAGGTAACTTATTGTCCTCACATTCCATCTGGTTTTGTGCTACTACTCCATTGGCTGTGTGTTTCTGTACAACCTGAGTTTGAATCATATTATTTCTTCCCTGCTTTTGTAGTGGGTGTTGGGAAAGGAGTTTTGGCTGAGGTGATGGCGTTGACCCATATCTTCCTTGAGATTTAGCAGTGTTGAGGACAGAGGATTCTTTCTTCAAATCACTATGACTTGAGGGGCTAAAAAACAAACAAACAAAAAACAAACGGTTGAACATAGCATTACAAAATTGTTTGATTTTTAGGAGCAGGGCATTTATACTGCATAACTTTAACTTCCTGAATTATATATTTCTCTTTGTCAATAATAGAAACACTATAGAACCCATGAGTCATAATACTATATTTCTTTCAGCAACTCACACAAGTAAACTTTAAAACCTTAACATAGCCACACTCGTATTCCCTAGAGGCCTATCAGCCCCAGCATACTTATTTAGTGCTGTTGTTTTACAGCCTTGTCACATCCCCTCTACAGCTTATTTTTTCTTTGTTCTTCAGCTCAGCTGCAAATATACTGCACCCCTTGTTTGTATCTATTATTTTTCTTCTTATTTTTCTATTTTGGGTTATTGTTAGGATATGAAACACTCTGTAAAATAAACTTCTATTGCATTAGTGTAAAATTACCTTGACCAAAGAGCAACACTTGTGTGTTTCCATTTTATTTGAAGTGCACATAAATTTCAAATGCCATATATTTCTTAGAATCATGCTACTAGATCTATTCTGGACAAAGTGATAAATGAGTCAAGCCCCACTACCACTGCATGCGACATGCAAGTGAAGATGATTAATTACACTGCCTGATGAATTAAGAAGGACCTGGGGGTTACAGTAGTATATAAGCCAACTGTGTGCCCTAGTTGTGAAAAAGGCTAACAGCAGACTGGACTGCATTAGTAGGAGTGTTGCCAGCAGATCAAGGGAAGTGATTCTTCCCCTATATTCGGCACTGGTGAAGCTCAGTCTGGAGTACTTTGTCCAGTTTCGGGCCCCCTCAAAGGATGTAGACAAATTAGAGAGAGTCCAGTGAAGGGCAACAAAAATGGTTAGAGGGCTCCTTTTTTCTCTTAATGGATCAAGCACGTTATTTCTGTGATAGTCTTTGTCTTGCAGCAAACAAGGTCTTTTCTTGCAGTACCTGGATACTCCTACATTAGGATGCCTTTTTAATTTGGAAGGCTTAGCTCTGCCCTGGGGTGTGTGCACATGTTAACCCTAAATTAGGAGAGTGGTGTTGTGGGGTGATGTGCAACACATTATAGATCAATGCATATAGGAAGCATTTCTTTGAACACTGATGCTTCTGAAGTATCAGAAGGCCATGTCCACTGCTCACAGTTCTCAGGCTTCAGGAACTGTAACTGCAGATTAGGTCCAGTATCCTTCTGAAAGAGTCACCCCCGATATGATACTTGTGGCCACCAATCTGATTTTGTTTAACAAAGAGCTACTAGAGTTAGTCTTTTTTGGTACACCTCCTCTTTTGGGGCCTCATCACATAGGACACACAGCATGAGTTTTATGGTGTATACTCAAATCCAAGATGAGATTCCCCCCCAAAGTCAGCATGGGGGGGGTGGAGCCTAATTTTAGATTAGAGTACCAGCTCAAGGCAGGTGGCAACTCAGCTCCAGCTCCAAGCACCGGGTTGAAACTAGAACTCAGCTGCCACCTGCCCTGGGCTGGAATAGCTTGTATAGTAGGGGAGGGGGCATGTGAGCAAGGGGAGCGCATGGGAGACTAGGGTGAGGGGAAGGGGAACCTGCAACCTGCCCCCTCTACCCTCTGTTCCATTTGCTTGTGCCTGCCTCCCCCACCATCTGCTCTCCTCTCCCCAGCTGTCCCCCACCCACCTACCTTACCTTCTGCTCTGGCTGTGGTCCCTCCAGGCCCAACTGCCCAGCCGGGAGCTGCTGCTGCTTCTCCCTGGCTGGCCTGGACTGAGGTCATGCTGCTGCTGAATAAGCTGCAGCAGAACACAAGTGGAGGGGCAACAGTGAATGGAGGGGCAGGCACAGGTGTGGTGTTGGGAGTTGGAGGAAAGGCAAGCTGCATGAAGGAGCAGTGGGAGGGGAAAGCAGGGGCTAGGCTGCTACTGACTGCCCTGAGGAGCACAGCTGCAACAGAAGGTAAGGGAAGGTGGGCAGGAAGTGGAGGAGGGGGCAAGCTGCAGGGTGGAGCAAGGGGTGGGGGAGACAGGGAGTGGGAGGGGCAGACAGACATAGGAGGCAAGGGGCAGAGGGTAGGCAGTGTGGGCAGACACAGGCACGGAGGGGCAGGGGAGCAAGAAACAGGGGTCTGGCCCCTCACCCTTGTCATAACAGCGGAGAGTGGGGACAAATTTAAGATACCCTTCCACTAATTAGATTTTCTACATGGAAAATTATAACAAATGTACAATTTTCCACAGGCGCAACGTGTAGGGGATGCATGCGGGTGCACATCCACCCCCTGCGCATGGAGGTCCACCCCCTGCGCCTGTCGGTGCACTCCTCGTAGTCAGTCGCCACTCACCACCCTGCCGCCAGCACCGCCGGTGGTGTCTGTGGGCGGTCCACAATTGCCCCTGGTTGCCGCCAACATTGCCATCAGCACCTGTGTGTGGTCGCCAACCCCTGGTTGGCACTCGCCACCCCACCCTGCCCCACCACTGGCAGTGCTGGTGGTATTTGTGGGAGCTCCCTGCTCACCACTGCCGTGCTCCCACCACCGCTGTTGTGCTCTTGCCGCTGCCAGTGCAGCCATGCCGCCCCAGCCGCCAGGAGCACGTGCCATTCATGATTTTCCATGTACAGAATCTAATTATGGGGGGGTCATTTAACATTGAAAGCTGTTTTGGATTTGGGTAAATATGGTGTTTAGAATGTAGCAAGCATTACCAAAAGTTAGAACATGTTCTGAGCAGTTACACAGTAATGCTTACTACAATCTTCCAGCCTGCTTCCTTTCCTAGAGAGTGCTGGTGAGTGAGCAGGGTTTCTGCCTCTGACAGTGGGCAGAAGAAGGCATGGGTAGTTGAGCCTGGGAGAGGGTGCTGCCCTTGCCTCTTGATCCTGCTGGTGCCTTGAGACCAGAAGTGGTTCAAGACTCCAGTGCAGTTCTGGGGCAGGGACCAACAATCAGCAGATTGCTTGTTATCTTTCCAGAGTGGTTGGATAATAGCCGAACACATTTTACTTAATACGGGAGATACTCTTCCCCAAAAAGCCCTACCTTTGCTATGATACGAGTGCACCTAGTGCGTGTTTTACTGATGAATGTGTGTTCACTTGCATTTATCAAGTGCAGGTAACACATCTTACGTGCCACAAGGCCCTGATATTGAACATTTTAATATAATAAAAGGCTTAGTACTTCCGTCTGTCTGTCTGTAACATAACTATGCATGTGCCCCGGACGGGGCTGGTAGCAATTGGCTGCATGGGCTCTGCCCCTTCAGGCAGAGAGCTAGAGGCAGAGGGAATCCTTAGACTTTAATACTGTATTGACTTGTCCCTGGTTCCTGTCAAAGCTAACAGGAGGCAGGGGCACTAGGACCTAGCAG